TTTTCCTGTCATTGCACTGGCTTCGGCGACGTTCTGCGTGCTCTCTGCAGTTTTGTGGCTGTTGTCTGGTCTTGAACATTAACTGTTGCGTACAGATCTGCTTACAGTGTTAGCACGCTCAGTTAAATCTACTTTTAATCAACTTATTTGCACTTAAAGTTCTAAGCCAAGTCTCCTAACATGGGACTTCAACAGGATCCCCGGAACTCTCAAAGAATGAGACAAAATCCGGATGATGATTCTCGTTTGAGGTCATCTAGGTCATGCAAACTGCACTGTGAGGTTATAAGATTATGCCAAATTTGCTGCCCCGATGTGGCTTGTGCTTCCCCGGCGCTGCTCGCAGGAAGAGCGGCAGACTGCGTGTGAGCCTGCAAACAGCGGATTTTTCAGAAAGCTGTTTTGTTTTATAATGTGCTACCTGGTAAGCACGCATGTGTCCATGTGGCAAGCCAGGTGGTCCATTTTAATTGTCTTATAGATGGGAATGTTCATAAATGAGAATTGCTAAACTAAATCTTTTTGATTTTGATTTAAATAAATCCCTGAGGTTAGGGCCACAGAGAAATCCCCCAGCTGCTGCTGCTGCTTTTTAAAAAAGATTTATTTATTTTTATCGGAAAGTCAGATATACAGAGAGGAGAGACAGAGAGGAAGATCTTCCGTCCGATGATTCACTCCCCAAGCAGCCGCAATGGCTGGAGCTGAGCCGATCTGAAGCCAGGAGCTCTTCCGGGTCTCCCACGCGGGTGCAGGGTCCCAAGGCCTTGGGCCGTCCTCGACCGCCCTCCCAGCGTGTTCAAGGAGAGGACTCTAGCCTAGGTCACCTAGGCCGCTGTGCCAAGCCCCCTCTCCCCCCAGCTTCTTGAGGAAAGGGGCCCGTCCATGGAAACCAGGAGATTTCCTCTTTTTCTGGAGGAACTCCTTTGCAATGAAGTGTTAAAGACGCTATCCCCACCATTAACTTGGGTTTTTCGGTTTTTCTTCTTCCCTCCTGCCCCTAAGGCGGGGGTATGGGTTCTTTCTCTCCTGAAGCCCCCGCCTGTCACTAGGACGGGAGTCTCTCTTCGCAGCTTTTCTGATAAATCTTGCTTTAGAAACAAACTGCGTCCACATGAAAATTCTTTCCTGCGAGACAAGAATTGAGGTTGCTGCTATATTTGGCAAAAACTCTGGGACCCACTGATTAGGGGCAGCCATGCCCACCCCCAGGCCTGGAGTGCCTCTCCCCCGCCCGTGTGAGTTGACCCCCAAGTTGGTGCCCAGACCCGAGGACGCTCAGTGGGGGCCAGGTGAGGCTGAGGCCACGTCAGGGGACCCAGCTCTGGGCGCAGTGCCCGCCAGCCCTAGAACCCTCTGGGGGCTGGGTGCAGCCAACCTGCTTCCCAGCTTTCCATGCCAAAATCCATCTGAGGGGAGATGGCCGTGCTGCCGCCACCTCTAGGCTGCCCGGGGGTCCCACTGTGTCGAGTCCAGCAAGGAGCTGGGCACAGACAGCCTGGAATGTGGCCCAACGCTGCGGCTGTCCTGGGGGTTTGCTCTGCAGGCCCCAGGGTGCACCTGCTGTGGAGCAGGCAGAGGCCTGGGCAGGACAGCTGTCGTGGGAATCCACATGTTCCCTGGGCCCTGGCTGCCGGCACGCAGGGCGGGACAGACGTCCTCCCAGCTGGCTAAGACCCCAGGACACAGGGGAAAAGCAGCAGTTCTGGCAGGAACCAGGCCCCAGCCATTGCCCCCCGAAAGGCGGGGGCCCCTCTGGTGAGCAAAGCATCAAGGGGGGAAGGCAGGACCAGAGCTGCAGTGGGGTACCCAGGTGGGGCCCCCGGGGGCATGTGGGGCTTGGTGCCCTGGGGTTGTGTCCGAACCCCTCAGCCTCTGGCCTTCATGCCCTGGGAACTGCCAGTCATCCAGGAACAAGGCTTGCTCCTGCCTACTCAGCTCACCTGCCCTGCCCTCTCCTCCCAAACTGGAAGCACCCACCATCAGTGAGCAGACAGCACCCCCGGGGGTCCCAGCCTCCCTCCCAGCTCAGCCGCTCCTTCCCCGCCGTGGTCCCTTCCCCGCAGTGGTCATGGCTGCTGCCCAGCAGCAGGGTCCTGCCCAGGCACGTAGCAGTGGTCATCCCTATTAGGAGAAACAGCCAGGGCCCCCGAGAGGGTCACTGGGTGGGGTCCAGTGACTCATGGAGGGTGGGACGGGTGAGGGTTCTGCCGGTGATGGCGGCAGCTTCAGGCCTGGCCCCTGCCCTGCTCCCAGCAGCCTGGACAAAGCCCCCCGGGACCTGCTGCCGCAGCAGCCTCTGCCCTTAGGACAGGACAAGGGGTGGGGGCAACTCCTCCATCAACCACAGTCCAGGCTAGGGACACAGCGGCCCAGCCAGCGCCACATGACTCTCCAGGGAGTCTGGGGTTCCCCCTACAAGTGTTCCCAGGAACCACAGGGCCACCCCGGGCCCAGGCCACAGCTCTGAAGGCAGGACCTGCGGCTGAGGGCGACCCCAGGGGTGAGCGCCAAGGAGCTGGGTTGCTGACACACAGGCTGGGCGCTCCCTGGCTGGTGCCATGGCACATGGGGGGTGATGCCAGCATTGGTCCCAGCGGATCAGGTTCCCAGCCAGCCCTCTTCTGACGTACCTGGGAAGGCAGTGGGTGGCTAGAGTCCTAGGGCCCCTGCATCCGCCCACCCACGTGGGAGACATGGAGCTCTTGCCTTTGACCTGGCTGCATCTCTGTGGGGGAGGATCTATCAGATGGTCAGACGGGGTGGGGAGGAAGGTGGTCCTAAGCCCACAGCCACATCCCACCCCCTTTGTGCAGCCCCGGGGCCCCGTGACCACCCTGTGGCCCACGGTCCGGCCTCGCTGCCTCCCCCGGCCCGCCCAGCCAAGGAAAGCCTGGGACAATTGGTTTGAACTGACTTTATTATTCTGTAAATGTGAATCTTACAAAGCGTTTTATCATGAATGATGACACCCTGCCTTGTGACCCCGAGTGGCCTGGAAGCCCCTGACCCCCCGTCGTACCCTCGGAGGCTGCAGGTCAACCGCGGCCACGAGGCCCAACTCCTGGCAGTCAGGAGCCAGCGAGGCTGCCTCCCTCCTCCCGCACGCCGGCGCCTCCCGCTGCCGGCCCGCGGCTCAGCCACGGCGGGCGTGACGGCCCCCAGCCTCTGCTTTCCAACATCCCTTCCCGGGCGGGCGCTGTTTGCACCCGCTGCCATCCACATTTTCAAGTCAAAAATATTTATACATTTTATGCTGAGTTCTTTTTTTTTTTGTCTGCTAAAAATAGTATTGCAAGTTTTGGCTTCTCTTGACATAAAAATTACAATCGTGCACAACGCTGGCGACGGAAGCGACCATCCACAGGCTCGCGTCCTGCCTCAGTTTCCTTGCCTTGTCTTCTCACTTTCCCCAAAGAAACAAAACAAAACAAAACAAACAAACAGAAAACAACCTTTGCCACGTGAGAACCCTCTCAGCCACCAAGCCTGCCACGTTCAAGGGGAGCACGGTCAGGGCATCCCCACGCCCTGCCACAGGGCCCAGTGGCTTCCACAGACGTGGGCCGTGGCCCCCGGTGGGTGCTGGGTGGGCCAGGCCTCACCACTCCACGGGCAGGTGTCCAGGGGGCCGGCTGTCACCCTCTCTGCCCCCCCACCCACCGTCGGACCCCTGGACAGGGATGTCCTGCCGAGGGAATCGGGGGAGTGTGTGCATGTGGGGGGCCCCGTCCTGGCTCCCCTGTCCTAACCGGCTTTGTCCAAGTCTGGGCAAAGGGCGACATCAATTCCAACGCAGAGGGAAGCGGGGACAGGACACGGGGCGGGCAGACAGGCGGACAGGACACAATTCAAGTACCCAGGCGGCAGCCCGCGGCAGTCACAGTACCCCAACCGTCTCCAGGGGCCCCTCCTCCGACCTTTTGCACTTGTCCCAGCGGCCTCCCCGGTTCCCGCCATGGGACGGGAGTGGCTACGCCCGGGGGGGGGGGGGGGGCGGTCCTCTGTCCAGCGATGTGACACAGCTCTAGAACGTTCCACATGTATATGCGTATTGCTACTCGGCAAGCTCGGGGGTAAAGATGCAATGCCTCCTACACACTGAGCGGCCGGGGACCGCCTCGGGGTCCTGCCGGCACGGAGCAGGCGGCCCCAGTCTGGAATTGGTCATCATGTAAACGGCGGAGGGGGCAGGGCAGGCGTTCTAACCTTGGGGCGGGACGGGGGGGGGCGATGAGGGATGCTAAGGCACTCTAGAAGCTCCTCTGTGCCCAGGCCCCCGCCCGCGGCACGTTCGGCACAGAGGGAGCACCCTGGCAGCTACAATCATGAGCCACGCAGGCCTCGCGGGACGGCGTCCACGCGGGACACGTAGTGCAAACGCTCGGCCGGCCCGCCGGGGGCCGGGAGCTCAGAACCATTCACATTGAGTGTGATGAAGTCTCACCCACAGCTCCCGCCTTCCTCGCGGCCACACACGCAGGCAGGGGGCACTGTGCTGTGCCCACCATGGAATGCAGAGGGCGAGAGGACCCTTCGGCCACCAGCCAGTCTCCCACAGTCCCCAGGGGTGTTCAAAGTAAAGTGCAAATGTGGGCGTGGGGGCAGATGAAAGCGCGTCCCAAGGGCAAGGGCTGCCCGGCCTGCTCCCGCAGCAAGGCTTGCTCCAGGTCCTAGCAGGGTTTCGGGGAGGGAAGGGCATGGCCGGACGCCCGGCTCGCAGCAGCAGCAGCTGTGGCCAGCACAGCAGGCCTGGGCTGCCTCCCACAGTGGCTGACCCCCTTTCTGGAAGCCCCCGGAGCCTTCCGGAAAGCAGACACACTCCGCACTGCACCAGCGGGAGCGGCATCAGAATGAGAGCCGTGAAGCAGAGAGCCCTGGGCGCCCAGCCGAGCCTGACTGCGTGCAGGGGCGGAGGGGGGCCCTGCTCCTGGCGGGGCAGGAACGGGGGAGCAGCAGTCCTCAGGCCACACCTGGGCAGGTCCCACAAAAGCCACGCATTCCCTGGGCTGCCAGCTGCAGCTGGACCTGCATGTGGAGCCTGGCCTGGGCCCGCGGCTCCACCTGCTGGCATGGGCGCAAGGGGCCCTGTGTGAGGGGCTGCTCCAGCCTGGGCCAGCCTGGGCTGTTGCCCCACTCTGCAGGAGCCCCCACACCCCACTTCCGGGCTGTGCTTCCCAGAGGGGACCCCAGGACACCTGCTCCAGGCCCTCAGCTCTTGCTCCAAAGCACCAGGCAGACACAGCACAGCCACCAAGCCCAGGGCGGGGAGGGCGTCCGCGGAGGGTCCCCGCTCCGCCCCGCACGGCACGCCTGCCCTGAGCACCCACACACACACCTAACCCAAGTCTCAGGAAAAAAGGGGGGAAAAAACCCAGGAGGAGCCCAGCCCCGCATCACTCCCAGGGCAGGAACGCAGTGGACGGGGGTCCCCCCAGCCCCTGCTTGGGCCACGAGGGCGGCAGGAAGGGCCAGGTGCCCGTGGGGGGTGGGGAGGGACTGGGCCCCGGGGGGCTGCGTGGCCAGGCGGCGGCCGGCGGCCTCAGTGTTTACAGTATAAAGAACGCGTTTGTCTCCTTCGTCCGTTTTAAATACAAGCAGAGTAAAATCACATTTTCTCAGGCAACAGTAGCAGTCAGTAGGTGAGTGCGCGATCACGTGGGTTGTATTAGTAACGCATGCAAGCAGCCCTAGCCCAGCCTACAAGGTCCCCGCGTACGCGCCCTCCGCCCTGCGCGCCGGCGTCTGCGGCCTGCCCGGGCTGGCGCCCTGCTCCAAGGGCTGCGGGCTCTGGCCGGCCGCCGGCAGCGGCTCCGGGCCGGCCACCTCCTGGATGACCGAGCCGGCCCCGTCGGCCTCCTCGCCGCTCTCCAAGGCGGGGTTGGCGGCTCCCAGGTCGACGCTCACCGCGTCAGTCCTAAGGGCCACGATGGTGGCCGCGTCCCCGCGCCGCTCGGCGTAGACGCGCTGCTCGAACAGCTGCGCCGCGGCGGGCGCGAACTCGGCGTCCAGGGGCACGCCGGCGGCCGAGGCGCCCATCACCGTGCGGTACATCTCCACGCCCTCGGGCAGCATGGACTTGATCTTGGGCAGCCAGCGCTTGCGCACGCGGCGGGCGTTGGTGCACATGTCGGCCGCGATCACGTTCATCTCGCTCTCCTTAAAGCTGGGCGCGAAGTTCTGACAGTACACTGTGGGGGGACAGGGGCCGATGAGGGCGCCGCGCAGGGGCCAGCCAGGCCGCAGTGCCCACCACGCAGCCACGACAGGCCTGGGCCGCGTCGTCCCCTTCCCACCCTGCGGCACAGGCTGTGTCCCCACCACTGTCTGCGCCGCTGGCACCGGCCGGAGGGGCCTGGACTGTCAGCCTCGGCGGGGCTGGCCCGTGCCCCCATGCACGCCCGCTCCGGGGCCAGGAAGCGGCCCGAGGAGGCCGTGCCCGCAGCCGATCTGGGTCGAGCTGGGCCCTGCCCCTGTGCCCGCTCCAGCACGTGCTGGACCCGGAGGGGGTCCGCCCCCACACCCCAAGAGCGGGAGGCAGGAGCCACCACACAGATGGCAACGGCTCAAAATAACCTCCAAATGTAAATAAGGGGTTTGTTCAAGAAGGAGAATTAGATCTATTTCACGTATTAAAATAGTTCCGCAGCTGAGTCCTCACGCCTGGAAAGCCGCCAGAGCGTTGGCGCCGCGGCCCGGCTGAAGGCTGCTCACTTCTCTTCCCCAGGAGGGGGGCCCGGCACAGCCTTCCTGGGGTGAGCCCCCACCCCGCGGGCTTCCGAAGCTCCCAGGCCCCCCACGCCCGGCCGCGCCCCCCACGCCCGGCCGCGCCCCCCACGCCCGGCCGCGCCCCCCACGCCCGGCAGCGCCCCCCACGCCCGGCAGCGCCCCCCACGCCCGGCAGCGCCCCCACGCCCCCCACGCCCGGCAGCCCCTCTCACGTTTCACAGCATTCAGGACCCGGCTGTCCAGCGGCTTGCGGCTCGGGTCACTGGTGGACGAGCGAATCCCCGTGCCACAGCTGTTGGCTAGCGTGTTCCTGCGGGGAAGTGCGGGGTGAGTGCGACAGGCCTGGCCACCTGCTACACAGTATGCAGGACGCCTCAAGGGCTGGCGAGGTGACGGGGCCAGCCCTGGCCCCCGGGCTGCCTTGGTGGTCACGTGCATACGTGCATACCGGGGTCAGGAGCCATGTGCCAGGCTCTGGACCTCCAGGAGCCCCTGGACAGCCAGCCCGTCCCCCAGGACCCCCGGACAGCCAGCCCGTCCCCCCCGGGGGCCCCGGACAGCCAGCTCATCCCCCGGGCCCCACAGACAGCAAGCCCGTCCCCCCCGGGGGCCCCGGACAGCCAGCCCGTCTCCCCAGTCGGCACCTACCTGTCGAAGAAGGTGGCCAGGAGCCTCCGCAGCAGGACCTTGTGCTTCACGCCAGCACACAGGTGGCAGTTCATGAGCTGGCCACGCGTGATGTACACCCCGGAGCCTGTGGACACAGCACAAGTGAGCGGGGCCTGCACTGGCCTACAGAGGGCGCTGCGGCAGCGGCCCAGCAAGCTCTGGCTGCACAGGCCAGGGGGGCTGCAGTGCCCACCCAGCCGTCCTCGCAGTCCAGGCCGGGCTACAAGGACGTCACCCTGGGCCAGGGAAACCCTCCCCGCACCTGGGCCTCAGGCATCTCTCTGGGAGGCAGACGGCCCGGCCAGGGGCTCAGCTGTGGCCTGGCCAGGCTGGCTCAGACCTGCCCGGGCAGTCTCATGGCCAGCGTGGACCGAGGCAGCGGGCCTAGGACTAGATAACTTGGGACTGTGAGGAGGCCAGCGGGCGTGCAGCTCAGAGTCAGGCCGGCCTGAGGCAGGAGCCAGGGCGAGGTGACTGCAGGTACCCGCCCACCCGTGTCTGGGGCATGGCTCAAGGGCTGCCATGGCCTCCAGGGACACCCCACTCCCTGCGGGGATGCTGGCCTAACCCGGGGGACAGGGCCGTGCTCCCTAGTCCACCGCCAGCCTCTGCTCCCTGCCCTCCACCATGCGCAGGTGGGCGGGGGCCCAGTGGTCAGCAGTGTGACCAGCTCAGGGACACGAGACCCGTGTGCCCTCTGCAGGAAGCCTCAGGGGATCGTGACCCCTGGGGGCACTGCACACTCACCCACCACCAGCTCCAGCTTCTCGCCGGGGTCGCCCTCCGAGTAGAGCTTGGGGTGGCAGCGGTACCCGATCTGGCTGATGAGACTGGCGGGCAGCGCCACGAGATCCCGGCGGATGAGGACACAGGAGCGGCTCTCCAGCGGCACCGGCTCCGGCTTCTCCTGCACTGCAGGCGCAGAACCAACCAGGTCAGCCACGCCGTGCACGCCACACCAGGCCGTGCCACTCGGCCCAGGGGCACAAGCCAGGCTGTGCCAGGGCACCAGGCCCAGGTCAGGCTGTACTGCCCGGTCTCCCTCCAGCCTGCACCCTACGTCTGGCCCACTGCACGTGGCCCCACCCCCCAGGGAGCGGGCGCAGCAGGCAGCAGGTAAAGCAGACCGGCCCGGACCCCAGGAATAAGTTCCCGAGGGAGGGGTGGCCACCATCAGGTGTCCAGGCAGGACAGAGCGGGGCACACGCCAGGGGTGACTGGGCTGGCTTGAGATGGCCACCGCCAGGGCCTGCCCCTGCAACCAGAGGCATTTCCTGTGCAACTGTGGGAAGCACCGACTGAGAGTGGTAGCGGCCAAACAGGAACCCCCCCCCCCCAGCTCAGTGCACGTGGCTGAGGGCGGGGTGGGCCCAGGCCACAGACGTGAGGACTTGGCACCCACAAGCCTTGTCTCTCATCTCAAGGCTCCAGTGCAGGGAGCCGAACAGCCACGCCAGCTGCTGGCCACACCTGGAGGGGTCAGTGCCCAGAGGCAGGCGGCAGCCAGGGTCCCTGGAGGCCTGCTGAGAGCCACGTCACTGCCCAGCACTGCAGGTCTTCCAGCAGGACCAGCTCGGGGTTTCCCGGGATGCACACAGCAGACACTGGGCATGCAGCCCGCCCTGGACCACGAGGACACTGCCCCGTTCCCCTGCTGCCCTCCCGCCCCAGGCCCAGGAAGCCTTGTGGCCCCTTCAACCACGGTGGCCCGGGGGCTGCCTCGGTGGCCTGGGACCCTGCCCACCCCCACCCTGTGCCGTCGGCTTCTGCTTGGCTGCCCTCACCAACAGGTGGCACATGTGGGGGCAGGCATGGCCCTCGGGTCACACAGCCGTTCTGGAGAATGTTCTGGGACGACCACTGACCCCCAGGCACAGAGCGGACGGCTAGAGCGACAGGCAGCCGTGCCACTCGGCCCCGCTGAGGTGCCAGCTCGGCCCTCTGCACGGTGCAGCCCTGCCCGGGGGTGGGAGTGTGGGGTGCCACAGCACGACTTTGAGCGAACCGCCGCCTAGCTCTGGTAGAACAGGCGGCCTGGGCGAGCAGCCCCAGAGTCGCGCAGCCGGGTGAGAAGGCTCCGTGGGGCTCACGTGGAGACCCAGTCGCAGCCCCCAGTGTGGTGCTGTGTGATCACACACACGCGTGAGCAGCAGCGCGGGAGGCTCCGAAATCACCCCTTCCACAGCCCCGCTCCCAAAAACTGCTATTTCTGCCCTGCCTGAGCTGCTGCCCGCAGCTTGAAGCACCCCAGCCCTGCAACCCTGGGAGGGCGGGGGTGCACACCCACGGCCATGGGCGCCCCGGGGGTTACAGGTGGGGTCAGGGCTCCACCCTAAGGCCCTCAGTCACATCACCCGGCTGGGCAGAGCCACGGCCACCGGCCACCGTGAGAGTCGGGGAACAGCTGGGCAGCGAGCACGACCCCTGCCCACTCACCTCCTGGCCAACAGGGGGCAGCTGCGGCCAGGGGCTACAGGAGGCCCGGGGCCCTCACACCCACGGGGCGGGGGTGGGGGGCTGGACAGCTACACGGCGCGTGGACGGTCCCTCTCAGGCCTGTTGGACACGTGTGAAGTGATGGGGCTCTGGCAGGGGTCCCACCGACCCTGGCGGGAGGTCCAGTGGCCAGCGGAACTGGCCCCCACCCAGGTACCACACAAGGCCGAGTGCCACCTAGGGGAGCCACAGTGCGTGGGAGGGCGCTGTCTCCATCTACCTTCTATCAAACTCTTGAGTAAATTTAAAAACCTTAAAAAACGCAGCTGACTTGGAGCCAGAAAGGTGGCACAGCACACTAAGTCTCCACCTGTAGTGCTAGGATCCCATGTGGACGCTGGTTTGAGTCCCAGCTGCTCCACTTCCCATCCAGCTCCCTGTTAATGGCCTGGGAAAGCAGCAGAGGACGGCCCAAGGCCTTGGGACCCTGCACCCATGTGGGACACCCAGAGGAGGCCCCAGGCTCCTGGCTTGGGCAAGTCCTGGTCCATGCAGCCATCTGGAATGGAAGACTCTGTCTCTAAGAAAGAAGACTGCCCACACAGGTTAGACCAGCTGGTGAGCAACAAAGGCAGGTGAGTGGGTGGCACAGCAGCCGTGGCCCACCCAGTCCGCCACAGGGACGCAGAGGACGTGGCCACCAGCCTTCCGGCCTTGGGGCACGTGGGAGCAGCCCCGCGGGAGAGGCAGGCTGGGCCCGGGGCTCCCTAGGGCCCGGGCTCTCTGCGGTGTTTGCCCTGATGTCAAGTCCCCCGAGACAAGGACACGGCCTGGCCCGGGGGACAAGGGCAGAGCCCGGCGCAGGGCAGGAGCTGATGGTGGGGAAGGCACGGTGCAGGGCATGGCAAGGGCCCCGGGTGAGGGCAATGCCAAGTTAGGAGGCATGCTGGCATCACCGCGCCCTGGGAGAACAGGGTGCAGACACGGTTGCCGAGGGAGAGCAAGCACGGAGCCCATGGGCAGGGCACAGCGAGGGCGGGAGACGCTGGGGGGACACAGAGCAAGTCCCGGGGGCCACAGGGCTCAGGGAGGGCGGGAGGCGCTGGGGGACACAGAGCAAGTCCTGGGGCCCGAGAGCACAGGAATCTGATGTGCAAGCCTGACACAGGGATGACCGGGACGGGACAGGCTGGAGCGCATGCGCACACGCACAGGGCTGCCTCCATTTCGCAAGGGGCGCCGGGGACAAGGCCGTCGGGTTCCCACCTGAACAATAAACCCGGCCCAACAGATGGCAGCTACAGACACTGTCCCATGCGACCACCCCTTACGCACCACTCAGCGTGCCCGCCCCTCACGCCGTGGCGGGCTCACCCCAAGGGTGACCCAGGCTGTGTGTCTCGGGAGCCTCCCCTGAGGTGCAGTCAGGGGTCCTGGAGCCCACTCAGCCTCCGGCTCCGAGGGGCGCCGTGCTGCACTTAAACAATGACCCAAAGATGCAGCTGTGGGGCCAGGAAAAGATGGCGGATGTGCAGGAGGAGGAGGGAAGGTGACCCAACACGAACGGGGCAACCCCCGGTGGGTCTGAGGGCGCAGGAGGGCGAGCGGCCGCAGGTGGACATGGCCGAGGCCCCCAGCCCGGAGAGCAGCCGGAGGGGGACACAGCGCCTCCGGGGCCTCGGCCGTGGGGCGCAGCGCTGCTCACGGCAGCGGGCCGGGTGGCAAGCGGGCTTACCCCTGTTGCAGTGGGCAGCACAGACTCGTGGGCCAACAGATGTGAGCACTTGACAGAGCTCACCAAGTTCTGGAAAAATCTCCAAAGCCAGAGACGGAAAACCCAAGAAACTAGCCCCAGAGGCGTGCTGGTCGTCTGCCCGAGGAGACGGCGCCTCCAAAGGGATGCCGGTTCCCACCCAGCTCTGTGCGCACGGTCTGGGAAGGCAGCAAAGGACGGCCACGTGCCGGGGCCCCTGCACTGGCCCCTGCCCTGGCACGAGAGACCAGAAGAAGCTCCTGGTTTCAGAACAGCTGAGCTCCGGCCACTGTGGCCACCGGCAGGGTGGGGGTGGGGACGTGGGTCACCCTTGGGGTGGGAACCTCCTGCGTGTCCCTAACCGTAACTACCTTTCAAATAAGCAAATGACTCTTTCACCAATGATGTGTTTATTCATTTCAACGGCACAGTGACAGACAGAGAAATCTATCAACAGTCACTCCCACAACGCCACAATGGCTAGAGCTGTCTGGGGCGGAAGCCAGGAGCCAGCCTGACTCTAACACCGGGGGCAGGGGCCCCGGGACTGGCCCCTCCTCTGCTCTCCCAGCCCATAAGCAGGGCGCTTATGAGGCAGCCATGAGTCCCCAAGTGACGTCCACATGGGATGCCAGCATCGCAGGATGGGGCGTATCGTCATCCTGATGAGGCTGGCCCCACAAAAAAAATCGAGGCTAGGACAGGGCAAGTTCGAGTCCCAGCTGCTGCATGCCAGACCATGGCCCAAGGGGCATCCGCAGTGTTGCACTGCCCACCCCAACACTCAGAGCCACCACAGGGCCCCACCACCCCCAGGACACAGAGCCACCACAGGGCCCCACCACCTCCAGGACACAGAGCCACCACAGGGCCCCACCACCCCCAGGACACAGGGCCACCGCGGGGTCCCACGACCCCCAGGACACAGGGCCACCGCGGGGTCCCACGACCCCCAGGACACAGGCCACGGGTCCCACCCCGGACCGGCCACGCGGGTCCCACGACCCCCAGGACACAGGGCCACCGCGGGGTCCCACGACCCCCAGGACACAGGGCCACCGCGGGGTCCCACCACCCCCAGGACACAGGGCCACCGCGGGGTCCCACCACCCCCAGGACACAGGGCCCCACCGCGGGGTCCCACCACCCCCAGGACACAGGGCCCCACCGCGGGGTCCCACCACCCCCAGGACACAGGGCCACCGCGGGGTCCCACCACCCCCAGGACACAGGGCCCCACCGCGGGGTCCCACCACCCCCAGGACACAGGGCCCCACCGCGGGGTCCCACCACCCCCAGGACACAGGGCCACCGCGGGGTCCCACCACCCCCAGGACACAGGGCCCCACCGCGGGGTCCCACCACCCCCAGGACACAGGGCCACCACAGGGTCCCACCACCCCCAGGACACAGGGACGCTCTGGGAGCGATGATTGTTGTGCACCACAGCAGCTGGGCTGAGCACCCATGGGCTCTCACCCACCCCACAGCCGTCTCCTTAATCTGACGAAGCCTTCCCATGGGGTCTGAGCAGCCAAGTCAGAGACGAAACTGAGGGGTGGGCGCTGCAGCGCAGCACGTGGGCCACTTCCTGTAATGCTGGCCCCCCGTGCGGGCGCTGCAAGTCCAGCCGCTCCTGTTCCCATCCAGCTCGCTGCTCGCGGCCTGGGAAAGCTGCAGGGGATGGTGTGAGTCCTTGTACCCCCTCAGGAGACCTTCCGAC